CGGGGGGGGAGGGCGGGAGGGGCGGGGGGGGCCCGGCTGCAGGCCCGGGCGGGGCGGCCGCAGCCCTCGTCCTCCGCCGGCAAGGCCCGGCCTTCGGCAGCTGCCAGCCCAGCAGCGCGGCTTCGCTTATAAAACTCCGAACCCAGCTTCCCAAGTCTTCATGTAAAATGCCCGGAATGACAAACCATAGAGCTAACGCCAGTTTCTTTAAACTCGAGTGGCAGAGGAAGAAGGTTTACGAGGGAAAATAAGTACAAAAGTGACATTTTTGTAGCATTCTTCAGCCATGTACTGCAGTGATCGCTGTCAGTGTAGAAGAGGCTTTTTGGAAAACCTAGGCGAGCAGCCTGCTGTTTGTTATTACAAACCATAAAATTGAGGTACTGAGATTAAAATGAACACACAGTTGTCAAAATTAGAAGGTAGAATCCAGGTGTTGACTCCTGGGAGCCTTCCTACTGTGGGTGTACGATCGCTTAATTATTTCTAAAATAGCAGACACAAGCATCAAAGATGTGAAAAGTACATGGAAATAACAGTATGTTTGCAAAGAAATAAACTTACCTTTGCACTTACACCATCTGGGAACACCACCGTGACCTGGAGACAAGGTTTCAAAGGAGCGTCCTGAACTCTACTGCCCATCAGCACAGTGACCAAATACTCCCTAAGGTTGCTCCTCCTTTCAAATGATTTAAAACATACTAAAGTAGATTTGTATTTTCTTTCCTCAACAGGACAAAGCGATCTCAGCCCATACAGTGATGCTCTCAAAAAAGCAGCTGTCACACAACCATACGTCACTGCACATCGGTGGATTTCAGCACATTCTTGTGATCGCTTGAAGCTTTGTACCTTCCACCGCTCCCCGTGTCACACTCAGCCCAGAGGTTTGGCTGTGCCATGGTCCAAGGCCTAGTTCGATGCAGCGTTGCTGTGTGACCTTGCCTGAGTTTCACTGAGAAAATTGTTAAGCTGTGAGAAAGTACATGAGGTAAAGCCATGAAAGACAAGTAGGTCAAGTCACAGAAGTGCTATTGTTGGGATGACAGTAGTTAGCTGGTGAAAGATTCAAGAGAAACGATACAGAAGGAAAGAAAAGCAGATAATGCGACGATAACAGTAATGCTGAGGATCAGCTCAGGCCAACAAATGGCAGAGACCAACTTTTCCCAGCATATTGAAAACATCCTGGCCAGCTAAGACTCATCAGTTTCTTATCAGGAGTGGTAAGCATATTACTGTTTAGCCTAGTAATTTGTTAGTCCTAGCTATCTATTTTGCATATTAGCTGATAAATAATTACTTAAATTGTGCATATCCTGCTTGCAGAGTCTCTTTGTGCATGGTAAATGCCACCTGGACAAAAGCAACCCATTGATCGTGAGTTGCGTGCTCTCCTGCTAAAGTACTTTCGCCCTGCATTAAACTATTATAAACAATTAAAAATAAAATTTAAAAAATCTGTCCATACACAGCAGTTAGTTTTTGCTAATACTGCAAGAAGACCAGAACTGAGATTATAACAGCCACCCAACAGTTTGGCCGCATTTAGATTATATACATTTCCATTATTGCTAAGCACTGGGTATACACCAACAGTATCAACTGCAGAAGAACTAATATAAATAAGGCAACAACATAGAATATATAACACTTTCTATCCAAAAAAAGGTAAGTGAAATTGCTGTTACGTTTTTCCATTTACTATTTCTGTGGTGTTTGTTATAGAAGAGGCATTGGTCCACAAGGAACAGCGAGCTTTACACCAAAATGTTTGTCTCCTCTCTTTGTGATGTTGCATTCTATCTACTTAAAGACCAGCTTCGGTCTTTCCTGAGGATCGTTTATTTTTATTAGAATGGAAAAGAAATGTACAGTGTTAGATCCTGAAATTTCTATTTAAAGTCCCATTATAGTTTAATGTTAAATAGCATAACAGCTTGCTTTCTCCCTCCTCTCATTAAATGTTGAGCAGCTGAGATAAAAATTGGAATATATTAAACACACTTAACAGTTTAAAACATTGGTCAGTGCCTGCCAATAACAAGAAATAAAAAATCTATACATAAGTAATAATAAAAGAGATAAAAATTAAAGAGCTGTTTCTAAATGAAGGGCCATATTCAGTTCTTGTTACCGTCATTACTAAAAAGCTATTCGAGCAGTGTTCTGGCAGTTCTGCAATGTGGTCAGAATGCATTTGCAGAAAATACATTTTTCTCTTACTCAACAGTTCAAATAATTTTTAAATGTATCAGACAACTGTACAGAAAAATATTCAAGGTGATAACCAGGGCTTTCATAGTTGAGTTGCTTCCATTTCTTCTTTATGTCAAAATGAGTGCCATGCCAATCACATTTGTGCATAGCAAGAAGAAAAACAGCCAGTGTTTAGCTGAGTCAGCTGTGTCTATGACTTGCCTTCAAATATCCAGGGCTTGGTTTCTTAATTATGGATGGGGAGATTAATTTGCACAGACCTCACATATCCAGCGACTGGGGTGTCTATTGTTATGGGCACATACACACATATGAGTGCTAATATTAAAGCTCCAATCATACTTTCACAAAAATTTCAAGAGTAGCTTTGACTTCAGCTGAAGAAATGTTAGAAGAAAGAAAAGGTTTCATTTCTGAATAAAATTCTCAGTAGAACTTAGGCCTAACTAGAAAATGTTATTACTCTTTTTTTGAAGCTACCATATCCTTTATTTTCTGCTTGTTAGGGAAACGTAATGCAGCTACAGTGCGTGCATACGTTATTCCCCCAAGTATACTACCATGCATATAAAGCTTGGGAACAGAAGCAATCAATTAAATCAGTGCAAAAATGAATTTCAGTGCACTTCAGATTCCTGGTTTATTCAAACCACTAGCATTCCTCCCACATTTGCACAAGCATACAACAACACTGGGATCATCTCGGAATCTTTACTACCAAATCAGCAAACTTACGGAAAGGGACAGACTTAACTGTTGAAGTCAATACTTAACTGATGAGTCATTAAAAAGTGTCTTGGGGTTTTTTTTCCCTGTAAATTGCTATCGGCTCCTTTGTAAAGGATTAGTGAAATAATCTTCCTTGGTCTATATTTTTTCTACTCTCTTTTGCCAGTTGTGAAAACTTTGCAAACTAGTACTACAGTCCAAGCAGATAATATCAGTTGTTTCAGAGTGCATGGATCTAACAGACTTATATGTACACTATAAAAGAATATCTAATAAAATACCTAGTATTTTACAGCATTCAAGCAATACTCTTCATATATATACATATCTATAAAGCAGCTATAATGTCCCAAACAAAACACTTACATAATTTCTCATGCAAGAAATTAATTAAGCAACTATAGACCTTAAATCTCGCTTTATTCCTTGCATATGCTTTGTTCATTAGACCACTCTGTACTTAGATTGTTTTTAATTGAGAATATCTATCAAGCTTTTTTTTAAAAAAAAAAGCACAAACCGGAAATAACTATGAGAAGCCTGGTATGTCATTGTCCTGTTCAGTATCATAGGAAGAGTTTTACTAACTGGTCACACAGAAAAATGAATTTATAAAAATCTTAACTGACATAGGAGAATGAAAGTAGAATTTTAGATGTAATTCACTGATGTTAGTGGCAGATTTTGCCTTATTTAAAGCTGCAGAGGGTTCTGTGTTTACTGGATTAGCTGCTTCTTCAGCCTCAGCAGCTAGCAAAAGTTAGTTTTGCAAGTTGTATTAGTCAGGAGAAGAAATGGATGGTGGAATCAGAGTCCTTTTATTTAAAAGAATCGGCAAATTTCTTTCTGTCTCAGCATAGGAGGATTTAAATGATAGACACAACTCATAGCTCTAAACCCCATTCAGCCACCACCCAACTGAAAAGATTTCTTCAGAGATTTTTTTTTTTCTTAAGGTCTCACAATTAGCAGCTCTCTTGAGATTGTGTAGTGGCTTTCTATTCTTAGCGTATTTCTTCCCTCCCTCTCTCTCACACACGCGCGCACACACATACACTTCCTACTCAAAACAAGACCCAGCGAAACCCTCTGCCCACATAGTTATAATTCCCAAGAGAACTTTCATATGCTTTTGTTTTGGGCAGTGACAATGTGCATATGTTTTGATTTCAGGCCCCCCCCCATTGGTTCCCATGCTTCAGCTTAATGAAGACAGACCAGCTATTAAACTCACCAGTTTCAGCAAGCTATAACCCAGCTTCCAGAGTTCCTTTGACCTTGCAAG